AGAAAGTGAAATAAATCCTTCCTCTATAGCCTTCGTAAATTTGTTTTTATCATCTCCAAGTGGTGTTTGCACAGGCAGCACAATTTGCATGTGTAATGTGGCTGTACAAATTGACAACAAGTAAATTATTCAAGGAAATAGGCTGGTCGTGGGTCTGAACTATCTCGCAAAGCCTATTCATTTTGAAGAATCACTGAGACGTGAAGCTCATACATCAACCATTTTCTGACAATCCTCAGACTTATTGTCTCCTAAAATGTCATTATGGCTATTATTTATGAAGCTAATTCATTTATTAATATATATTTAACTCTGACTTGTCATGCACCTTAGCAGGCATTCTGTGCACTGCATATTTTTGAATAGATGAAAGAGTTTTGCATGCTTTAATGATTACTGTAAGCTGCTATAGATTTATAGAATGCAGCTTTATTATCTACTTGCATTAATACCTTTTTGTAACTTTTTTTTTCCTTAAGGCCATCAAATATAAATGGCAAATGACATATCCAAAAGATGGTATAAAAAGAGATTTTTCTCTGAATTTGTTGAAATTTTGAACTGTTAAGGCCTCATTCATTTTTAAGAGTCTATCACAATTATGTTGATATTTTGTATATTTTTCTAAAAGTTTGGGATGAAATGTATAAATATAGATGTTTATTACACTTTTCTCTTTGAGGACAAGTGGCCATCTTGTACTCTTGAGGGAGTACAGTTTAGAGAGGGGGAAACACAGCAGATGGAAGATAGATCAGTCCTGCTATAGTATACATAGAATATAGATAATTTCCCTCCTATAGAACAGTCCTTGGGAAATGAACAACACAGAAAGAATGGATAATGAGGTTGCCTGTGGTTCATGTTTTTTTTTCATCTTATCTTTAGGGCATATTAAAAGACATAAGGATCACAGTAACCCTTCTATGACATCTGCTAAGTGTCAGGAAGTTAAAAATTGCAATCTACTACGAGAAGCATATTTGGGGTAGTTCTAAATTTTATTACAGACAGAATTCAGATTACACTGGTAATTATAATAACAAATTGACTAATTTAAATGTGTAGTTATTATGCCTGTATGGTCAGTTTGACTATTTGCAAGGGCCAATGGTCGCAGTTTGAGGCTACTGGCCCGTAGTCTAAGAACTGCTTTGGAAGTTATGAGCTCCTACTCTCAGGATGTGCTAGGAAGTAATAGATACAGGATTATATTATGCCATTGAAAGAAGAGTCTATGGATAAGGAGGTATTTCATATTTTATCTTTACCTTAAAATCTTGCAAAGCTGTGTTGTTCTTTGTGGTCAGAGCCATTTCACTTTAAGAAGGAGAACACAAGGAAGTCTTCAATATTCAGAAGCCTGTAAAAGAAAGAATTACTGAGTCCTTACATAGCATGAAAGTCTTTTGAAGCTAATGTTATAATGGTAAATACTATAGATAGTCGTATTGGAAAACTCATTATTTTGAATTCTTCAACTTTTTTAGAATATTAATAACATATAAGAGCAAACTCAAATGACAGAAATAAAGAGGCTGTGAGAACTAACTCGATCCGGGCAAGAGCAAAGAAACTAGATGTGTTTCTGAATATGACGTGAATAAATAAAGCTTTTTTGTGTCTGAAAGTCAGTAAGAATAGTATCATTCTGTGCTTTGGAAATAGAAGCTTATGTTTTCCAAACTGTGCTATCACTTTTGGTACTTGCAATTTCAGGTGCCTGCCTGGAGACCTCTGAGAAGGTAAACCCAGACTTGCAGAATATTTGTTTTTAACTGAACCTAGTAAAGTGATACAAATTTGCCCAACCGTAACTCAGAATGTTTTAAGATTGACAAAGCACTTTATTGAACTTGTGCAACTTAAATTTAAATACCTTTTGTCACTTGGAAAACTTTATAGTATAAGTATGGATTGGTCTTCTGTATTTCTTGAAGAAAAAATGGTATTTCATGCAGTAATGAATGCCTTCATAATTTGTGAGCTTGACAGCCAGTTTCAACTAAGGAAAGTAGATAGGCTCCCTGTAGGTCTGTTGGCTATAGCCAGTTAAAGATTGAAACTGAAATTACTACTGCCACTGAATCAATGTGGAAGACTGATTTCCAGTCTATTTTGTTTTAGTTTACAGTTACTGAGAGTATTTAGGTGATCTCAAAATGACATGTTAAAGAAGGAAATTCATTGAGTGTTTCCTTGTTATATAGAATAACAAGGGGAGGCTGCTCCAAGTAGGTAAGAGTAGGGTGTTACCATCTTCACCTTGCTCCCTCTAAAATCATAGAATCATAAAATAGTTAGGGTTGGAAAGGACCTTAAGATCATCCAGTTCCAACCCCCCTGCCATGGGCAGGGACATCTCACACTAAACCATTTCACCCGAGATTCTGTCCAACCTGGCCTTGAACACTGCCAGCGATGCAGCATTCACAGCTTCCTTGGCAACCCATTCCAGTGCCTCACCACCCTTACAGTAAAGAACTTCCTCCTTATGTCTAACCTGAACCTCCCCTGTTTAAGTTTGAACCCGTTACCCCTTGTCCTATCACTACAGTCCCTAATGAAGAGTCCCTCCCCAGCATCCCTATAGGCCCCCTTCAGATACTGGAAGGCTGCTATGAGGTCTCCACGCAGCCTTCTCTTCTCCAGGCTGAACAGCCCCAACTTTCTCAGCCTGTCTTCATACGGGAGGTGCTCCAGTCCCCTGATCATCCTCGTGGCCTCCTCTGGACTTGTTCCAACAGTTCCATGTCCTTTTCATGTTGAGGACACCAGAACTGCACACAATGCTCCAGGTGAGGTCTCACAAGAGCAGAGTAGAGGGGCAGGATCACCTCCTTCGACCTGCTGGTCACGCTCCTTTTGATGCAGCCCAGGATACGGTTGCTTTCTGGGCTGCGAGCGCACACTGAAGCCAGCTCAAGTTCATTTTCTCATGGACCAACACCCCCAAGTCCTTCTCCTTGGGCTGCTCTGAATCTCTTCTCTGCCCAACCTGTAGCTGTGCCTGGGATTGCTCCGACCCAGGTGTAGGACCTTGCACTTGGCATGGTTAAACTTCATGAGGTTGGCATCAGCCCACCTCACAAGCGTGTCGAGGTCCCTCTGGATGGCATTCCTTCCCTCCAGTGTATCAACCGAACCACACAGCTTGGTGTCATCAGCAAACTTGCTGAGGGTGCACTCAATCCCACTGTCCATGGCAGCGATGAAGATGTTGAACAAGGCTGGTCCCAACACCGATCCCTGAGGGACACCACTCGTTACTGGTCTCCAGCTGGACATATCAAAATGTGTTCCCAGCTACATTTTTCACAAATAAAGCAGAATTTGAGGAAGAGCTTGACTGAATTGTTTAAAAAGAGCTTTTTATTTCCTCATCCAACCAGAGATTACAGACTCCTGCAACGATACTGTGTGGCACATCAAACTCTAGCTCATACCATTACTGTTTGCAGTAGTGGAGCTACTTTATCCTTTGCCAGAGATCAAAATTACACCTGCTGCATAAGATATTCATTCATCTTTATTCAGTAAGCTGTAAAATGCAGAGTGTAGAGAAGGTGCAAATCTGCTTGATAGTTCTGGACAAAATTTTTCAGCTGTGATTTTCAGAGTGGCTCAGCTGTACAGCTGCAGAATGATGTGCGAGGGAAGTGCCCCATCAGAGTGCCTGTGCAGCTCTTGCTGCTGCTCCTGATGACACTAATCCATATTCCACTTCTAAGTTGGCTGCTTCTCAGGGAAATGCTGCTGCTTCAACATCCTTTACTGCTGATCCTGCTTTACATTTTTGGAGCAACCCAGGAATTCTCACATCCTCTTTTATAACCAAGGAAAGAAAGCACAATTTATTCTGTCATAAAACAATCTTTGTTAACCATAAAATCATTATGTATTCTAGCAGCAATGCCTTGTGCTGTGTTTAAGAGCATTAGTGCATCCTGTCATAGTCTTTGTTGGGCTACCATGGTGTCAGGCTGTATGGATACCCTAAGTGACCAGCTTGAGATCCTTCCAATGTGTTGGGTCTCTGTAAGTTACAATAATCAACTCATTTTACTGTAGGCAGTATGTCAGACACCCAGAGGACTGCCTGTAGCTAGCTGCTTGGTAATGCCTTGAAAGGGGGGGACATCCTGAATGGACGTAGTGTGAGCAGCTTCTAAATGCTATAGTTGCTGCAACCAGCATAGCTACCTCTACCCCGAAACTGCTGTCCTCTTAACTATACCAAATGTGTATTTTTGGAGAAGAAGGCTTGATCTTTCTTATTAAGAAAAAACAAACAAAAAAACAGGCTTAATCATTCTGTAGAACCCCTCTCATGCTACCCAATCAAGCATTATCGTCCATTGCACAGCTAAAAGATGGTAACCATCAAGATACCAAGGGAATGCAATAAAAGCTGGGTTGTAAACCCCAGTACTTAATCCCAATCAAATTCCAAGTTAAATGGTTCTGTTTGCCCCCTAGACAGATGACACTTTCTTCCCTTTTGTTTTAAACACTTACACTGTACTGTCATGTGCTGATGGTTTCAGAAGCAGAGGTTGTGTATCAGCAGTGGAAGTTGACATGCCATGTTGTAACTATAGACCCACGTTGCGATAGCATGGACTGTAAAGAAGGTAAGGTAACTGGTGTGTGTATTTTGGAGGATGAGAGCCTACTGAGCACACATTGTTAAGTGGGTGCTATTTATTTTATTTTTAAATATCCCAAATAGCCTTTGATTAGAAATAAACACTTCAGGGGCAATTATTTGTTTAAATAAAAGATGAATTAATGGTTGTAAATCAACAAGCATTTTGGACAATATGTCTTCGTAATTCTACATAGATAGTGTCAGGCAGATCATAATAATCTAGCGCATTTAAACCATAGTTTTATTGTATCTCATTATTTTTCAAGACTGATTTTCCCAAAGCTTTGGGTTTGGGATGGTTTGAAAAAATTATACTTACAGTACACAGAATCCTGTTCTTTTCTCATTAAATGTTGTCTTGCCTATTTTTAGTTTACAGAGAGCTGGTTTCCAATAGATGAATGTAGTTTAAGAGATGAAGACATCATCTGTATCATCCCTTATCTCGTAACAGCTCATCATTTGTAAGTACCCAATATATTTTCTTCATCTTTTCTTTTTTTTTTCCTCTTCAAAACTGCACAGCTTTGGTCTGTTTCTTTTTTTGCTGAGGAAATGAATGTTTTGATAAGGGCCCAGTAAATCAGTGCTGAGTACTCTGAATTCTAAATTTAGTGTTCTCTACATTCTTAGTATATCTAGTTACATATATTTCAAAGTGTCAGAAAACCCCAATCACATATTTTCTATATATTGGACTGCGTGTACACAACAGAAGTCTGTCTGATGTGGATTTCTGTTTTGTTTTGGGTGTTTTTTAAGGTTTGCACCTTTCTTGCTGCCCGCTGTTTTATTGTGGATAACTATCAGTGAAATTGTTTCTTCTAGCCTGACTGTTTTGGTATATGAATCAAAACCAGTCTGGTTTGCATCAGGCTCTTGATGAAACTCAGAAATACTAAAACTGGTTGGCCTGTCCGTTTAGGGTCCCAAATTGAATCCAGTGCTGTAGATAAGAATCCCAAAGAATGGATGCCTCTTTTAAGTTGCAGGCAGTACTTGGCAAATGAAGTATTATTTCCTGAGAGTGCTATGGATTTCTTCATTACCTGGCTGCTGCATTTTGCAGATGGTTGGATCAGCAGCAAGATCTATGCAGCTGTGTGTAGCTGGCATATGTGAATGTGTAATTTTTGCATTTGTGAGTTAACCATCAGCAAGAAATAGATTTTAGCAGCAATGGGATAGGGAGGATTCAAGTATAAAGTTAACCTTGTGGTTCACACTTCTTTTTCTACACATCCAGTGTCAAGTTCTGTTTCGTGTTGGAAAGCTGGATTGCCTCTGCTATGGTCCTATCATACACTCAAATTGCCACCTTCTTCATAATAATTCTTGCAATAATGTTTATGAGAATGCAGAGGGATACAGTATGTGTTCTAAGTAACTGAAACATGCAGTAAATGAGTCAGAAGTGGAAAGAGTGAGACGACAGTGGTGCTGAGACAGTGAACTCCTATGTAATTTGTTTAAATTGTGTTGGGTAGTGACAGGTTTCTGTTTAAACATGACTCAATCTGACTTTCTCCAAAACTCAAATGAGATTGTACAGAGAATTTTAGGGTTTTTTTTTATGATCTTTAAATTCCTTTTATTTTTCCAGCTTGAGACTCTGATGAGTAAAGCAAATCAAAAGCACGAATTGCCAGCGCCTGGAATTTTCCGCTTTGTTGTATAGCAACATACTATGTGATGAAGAAGTAAGATCTAGATATACAGCAACCTTCCTGGTAAGTATGCACTTAAAACTATTTGTATGTCTGAGATGCTCTGAAAGACATAAATTCTCCCTTTAAGGTAGTGTCACTTTGACTATGTCTTAAAAGACAAAATTCAAAAGCAGAAATAATTTTGGAAAGGGATTTGAATGCCTGAGGAATAAGGACAAAATTTTCCTGCAAGGTTCAGTTCTGAAGAATGGTGTGTCTAATAAATAGGATACTTCATAAGGCTTGCAGACTGTTAACCCATGATTAGCCAAAAATGTTGATCAGTTGTAGGAGCTCATAGAACAGAAAAACGGTTTGCCTTTACAGCAGTGGTATTCATACTGATGTTTATTCATCTGAACACTCTATAGATATTTCATATTTAAAATGGGCAAAATATAAGCAAAAAGGAATGGTAGAGAAAAAAAAACAGTTACCTGTGCAAAAGCCCATGTGTTGGAATAAAAAGAATTATCCACAGTGGTTACTTTTGTAACTACTGTATTTTATCTTCCTGAAAGATACAAACGTACTTGAGATTGAAATATTTAAAAACATGCTAGAACCAAGATGGATTAGGGAGAAATGATATCTTTAACAGTCCTCTTTACTGAATAATCCACTCCCCTTTACCATATACTTGGCTTCCACTAATTCACATAGGAAATGTTTGGAGATGGTTGTTAAACTCAATCCTGCCCTGTACATTATTACTGCAGGACTGTACTATTTGGTATACTAATCTCAATAATGCGTACGTATATATTTTCTTAAACTTCCAGAGTCATGTTTCTAGGCATTTGAAGCAGAGATCCCATAGGATTATCTAAATCTGACATTTATCTGGGTAAAAGCTAACACATAAAGTGTCATAGCTAATCACATGTTTTTTATACTTTTGCTTGGAAAAGAAAGAGTACTGGAAGTGACACACTAACAAATAATACATAATCTGTACACGTGAAGTAATCTTTACTGCTTTGTTACTTCTTACATACACGATGTGCACCGTGCACAAAAATACAGCTTGTTATCCTTGTAGTTAAGAATCATGATGTTTACTGTAAGTAGCCCAGTAAGTAAATCATCACTGAAAACTTGACTTGGAAGAAACTACCTGTTTAAGATACCAAGGCATGCTGTTATATTTTTAGTCATGTGATTTTGAAGTACAAATCTGTGGCGAAGCTCTTTCCTTAGTCACATAAAATATGGAAGATTAGTAGTTACTCTGCTATGCTAAACATACTAAAATAATAATTTTCTTTCCATTTCTTTTATTTCACTGCATTTTTGAAAAATCTGAATCATGAGATTACATGTGAGATCAAACCACCAAAAGCCTTATTTTACACACCTTTATAAAATTGGAACTGTGAAAGGAACTTCGGGAGTTCATCTAGTCCATTTTCTTTGATGCAAAGGAAGCTTTACTTATGTCTTCACCTTAATGTATCTTCTTACTGTCCTCAATAGTCAGAAGATTTCCCTAAATGCTAAACTGAAATCATTTGGGCTGACAGTTGAAGCTATTCCCCTCTCTACCCAAACTAGCGCCAGAAAGCATTCTCCAACATTCTTGTTACTGAGACAAAATCCAAACACGAGCATATTGGGAAATATGTTTGCTTTTTTAGTTATTATAAAAATCAGATTCTGACATGAAAAACCCCATGCAAATTTTGGCTGGAAAAAATACAAACCATAAGCAGAGGTGATAAATATCGAGATCTATTTCTTCCCCTATTTCTGTGCAAGATACATGAGACTATAGAATAATAAATACAACATGGTGTCAGACACAGTTCAGTAGGTATTCTAGTCAGATATTCATCAAGTGCTGCAAGATAACCAAAACGAGTGTTAAAATAACCCTTACCTTGCTTGTGCCTAGAGAATCCCAACTGCATGTGCTATTAGTGTATAGCTATCATAAAAATAAATGAGCCAGTCTACATTTTCAGGTTAATCTTCAATTTCGTAATTGAATCAGTAATTACTCTAAGTTAATATAATTAGGTGCTAACACTTAATTGAGAATTATTTATTCAGGAATCTTCACTATTGTAACCTTTTTTTATAGCTCTAAATCATTCTGAGTAATATACTGCATCAAATAAGCTTAGCCGGAAATTGAATGGACATTACTTGGGATCTTGTAGTTTAAGATTTTTAAGCTACTTTTTATCACTAAGTTTCTTGCTAAAAAAAAAGAGAAGAAACAGGGGGTTTTGGCAGTCTTCCTAATTCTGGCCATGGCTGAAGTGCCACCTGAGCATTTTCAAATGGCTCAGACAAATTATATTGGATAAACTACTCTTTCCAGTGGTTGTTGATGAAGGTCCCAAGAAGAAACTTTACTTCAAAGAGACTGAGTCTCTCTCAGACTAACTAAAATGAGCAAACTGTGATCAGTATCTGTGTATTTATACCTTTAGCCTCATATCCAAACATGAATCCATAATGTGTTTGTTTCAGAAAAAAATGAAACTTTATATCATAGTGCATAGGTGCTATGGCTAATACACCTGAAAACAGTGAGGTTTTCATCTCTCTTGCTAGGATTAAATTAATCCCTGCTAGTAATTTCCTAAAGATGAACAAGTTAGTCTCTGTGGCTTTCTCTTTGTTATCTGTGCCTGAGTATAGGCTCACTTTTTCTGTACCAGATGGTTTGAACAAGTTGCATTTCTTCTACACACTTGGATTTTCTTGAGTTTGCATCATCCCTCTCTCTGTGTGCTTCGCTGGTTGGCTCACCAGAGCATAAATCAACACGTAGCCTGTGAGGTCACTTAGGGGAGTTGGGGTTTGAGCGTGAGCAGGAGTCTAGAGCTAACATGACAATATATATGAAGACAATATGTCTAACTCTTTTAGCTAATACTCAATGTGCAAAAGTAAAGGAAATATGGAATACTCACCTTTTGACCTCAGTCCTACTATAAATCAGGTCAATTTGGTAGAAGGAAATATGATAGAACTTAGAAGGCAACTTGTGTGTTAGATCTGTATTTTGCCTTGCTGATTCAGTGTATTCCAGACCAAGGTGTGTCTTGGTGAGCAGTTTTCAAAATGGTGTGAGAGTGTTAAGCTGTCTGACTCCAAGGAAAGTCAATATTAGTTGTGCTGTTAGATGTCTGCTTCCCACTTTATAAAGTAACAATGAAGTGCAGTAGGTTCAACAGAAGTTCAGAATTACTTTGATAAATCTATCAGAGGAAAGAAATATTAAAATCTGTGTACTGTCTGTTTGCCTTTTTTCTTGAAATATAAATTAATTATGACTATATAAAAACCTTTTACCATAGCTAATTAATCAGAATCTCTTCATAAACTATGTGTCGACAGCACTGTATGTCTAATTATCTTTTTCACTTCAGAATTGTGCAGCTGAATAATGAAGAAAACATTACCTGATGAATTCTTTTATTTTATGATGATATCTCCAGAGACAGAAAAGACAGAGCAGCTTAAATGCCATCTTAAATTACATCTTGGCCTTGGCAAGCTTTCAGCTGGTTTTGATTTGCATGGAAACCATTTTTATAAGACTCATATTCTCCAAGAAACAGAACTTAAAGCTATAACTAGAATAAATTATCTATAGCTATTTAGGGCTCTATTAAATCTAGATGCTAGACACCCTTTTCACATGCAGAATGCAATGGAACAGCTTTTAATACCCTGTCAACCTGTTCTGTGAGAAGTCGATTGGGCAGGGAAGGTTTGATTTGGCTGGTTTTATTAAAATATCTTTCTCCTCCTTACACCATCATGAACCACTCAGCCTAATTTAAAGCAGGCAAATTCACCAATCTGTCTTGCATGTCTATAGAAACAGCTTTTATTTCTCAAAGTGATGACATCTACCCATAACTGTTGGCATGCAAGCTCAAGACACAGTTACTCATACGCTGCTGATAGGGGATTGTTCTTTATGTGATATACCAATATAGGGAGCACGTTTGTGGATTAGGTGCATCCGTGCCTCCTTCCTTTGATTGCACCATCCTCTCTATAGCTAGTTAAGACTTTCCCCTAGGACACAGGGAGAGGTGGAATCAACTACAGCTAGACTGCGTATCTCATTAGTCTACCTTTTGTTATGCCTTTATAATTCAGATTATGTGAACCTCCAGCACCACTGTGGAATGTAAGTATCGTCACACCACATAGGGGTTCATAAGAATGCCTTAGTACAGAAAAAATATGGTCTCTTCTAGTCGTATTAATTATTTATGTCAGAGCTTAATTTGATCTAATGTCTGAATTCAGTGCTTGTTTACTGTGGTGCACACCAGCTGGAACCAGGGGAGCTTCTTTGAGTGTGTACTGGTGAGAAAAAGAAAGACAGTTATAAATATCTTAAAAGCAAATACTCATCATATTTGAATGAAAGACTTCAAAAAACTTAAAAAGAGCGTTGCTCTCCATTTCGCCTGCTGTGCTTCCTGGAAATATTGATCTAGATCATGTTGTCAGACGTGCTTTAAAAATAGGAATGTCTTGTCTAAGCATTGGATTCCATCTGCCAAGTCTCTGGGGATCCCTGCAAAGTTATTGGGAAAAGTTGCTATAATACAGAGTGCTTTTATCTTGAAGTGCATAGAGGAAAAATAATGAGACAAGACTAATTCTAGCTCTGATGTACTGGCACTCATGGGTATGTATGCAAGTGAAAAGACTATAGACACTGAATAGAGACAATCATATAACTTCTGTACATCCTAATGAACAATCTGAAAATGCATACCATAAGTTCAGATTTCAAGCGTGTTAGAGAGTCAGCTAGTCTGACCTCCGTGGTTAATGAATTCCATGAGGAGCGAGCAAACACTAAAAATGCCCTGTAGCTCAATGTCTTCAGCCAAAAAGAACTAATCCAATTGACTGAGACCAAAGAAAACGACTGGGGATGTATGGTTCCAGAATGTCTCTGAGGTATTCAAACCCAAGTCAATTTAAGGACTTGTAAGTTAATAACTAGGACTTTACACATAATCCTGTACTTTACAGGT